AACAGAAATGAAAGAGGAGACATTACTACAGATCCATGGACGTTAAAAGGATAATAAAGGAATACTATGAACAACTATGCACACAAACTTGATACCTAGATAAAAATGGACCAATTTCTTGAAAGACACAGTCTGCCAAAAGTTACACAAGAAGAAATAGACAATGTGAATAGGCCTGTATCTATTAAAGAAATTGAATCAACAATTAATGATTTTCCAAAACAGAAGCACCAGGTCCAGATTAGTTTACTGCTGAATTCTACCAAACATTTAAGGAGAAATTAAACAATTCTCTACAATCTCTTCCAGTAGATAGGAACAGATGGAATACCTCCTACCTTATTCTATGAAGCCATCATTTCCCTGATACCAAAACCAAAGACACTACAAGAAAACTACAGACCAAGATCACTCATGAACAGAGATGCAGACATTAAAAAAAAAAATAGTAGTGAATCAAACCCAACGATGTATGAAAACAATTATACACCATGACCAAATGGGATTTATCCCAGGTATGCAAGGCTGGTTCAACATTTGAAAATCTTTAATGTAATCCATCAGATCAACAGGCTAAACGAGAAAAATCACATGATCATAATTGATACAGAAAAAGCATTTGACAAAATCCAACACCTATTCATGCTAAAAGCTCTCAGTAAACTGGGCATAGAGGGGATGTCCTGTCTCTCCACTCCTTTTCAACACTGAACTGGAAGTGCTAGCTAATGCAACAAGACAAGAAAAGGAAATAAAAGGTACACAGATTGGCAAGGAAGAAATAAAACTCTTTATTCACAGATCACATGATCATCTAAGTAGAAAGTCCAAAAGAAGTGATAAGAAGACTTCTGGAACTAAGCAATTATAGTAAGGTTGCAGGAGACACAGTTAATATACAAAAGTCAATAGCTTTCCTATATACCACCAATGAACAAATGAAATTTGAAATTAAAAACATAAGGGGCACCTGGGTGGCTCAATCGTTAAGCATCTGCCTTCGGCTTGGGTCATAATCCCAGGGTCCTGGGATCGAGCCCCACTTCGGGCTCCCTGCTCCGCGGGAAGCTTGCTTCTTCCTCTCCCACTCCCCCTGCTTGTGTTACTGCTCTCTCTATCTCTCTCTCTGTCAATAAAATCTTAAAAAAAAAAAAAAGAAATTAAAAACATGTAATTTATATTAGCACTCAAAACAGTGAAATATTTAGGCATAAATCTTTTTTTAAAGATTTTATTTATTTGAAAGAGAGAGAGATAGAGCAGTAACACAAGCAGGGGGAGAGGGAGAGGGAGAAGCAGGCTCCCTGCTGAGCATGGATCCTGATGCAGGTCTTGATCTCAGGACCCTGAAATCATGACCTGAGCTGAAGTCAGACGCTTAACCAACTGATTCACCCAGGTGCCCCTAAGCATAAATCTTAATAAAATATATACAAGATTTATATAAGGAAAAGAACAAAATTCTGATGAGCAAATTCAAAGAACTAAATAAATGGGGAGGAATTCTATGTCCATGGATAAGAAGACTCAATATTGTCAAGATGTGAGGTCTTTCCAACTTGATCTATGGATTCAATGCAATCTTGATCAAATCTCAGCAAGTATTTTGTGGATATTGACAAAACAATTTTGAAGTTTATATAGAAAAGTAAAAGACTCAGAATAGCCAACAGAATATTGAAGGAGAAGAACAAAGTTGGAAGACTGTCATTACCTGACTTCAAGACTTACTATAAAGCTACAGTTACTTAGGATAATGTAGTATTGGAAAAAGAATATGTAAATAGATCAATGGAACAAAACAGAGAGCCTAGACATAGACCTCCATATATCCAGTTAACTGATCTTTGAAGAAGGAGCAAAGGCAACACAATAGAGCAAAGACAGTCTCTTCAACTAATGGTGCTGGATCAACTGGACATCCACTAGCCAAAAAAAAGAACCTAGGCACAGACCTACACCCTTCATAAACATTAACATGAAACAGATCACATACCTAAATGTAAATGCAAAACTATAGAATTCCTAGAAAGTAATATAGGAGAAAACCTAGATGACCTTGAGTGTGGAGATGAATTTTCAGATGCAGCAGCAAAAGCACGATCCTTGAAAGAGAGAACTGATTGATAGTAGACTTTGTTAAAATTAAAATTCTCTGCTCCATGAAGGATGATGTCAAGACAGTAAGACACACCACGGGATGGGAGAAAACATGCCAAAGACACATCTTATCAATAAAGGGCTGTTAATCCAAAATATACAAAGAACCCTTAAAACTCAACAGTAAGGAAACAATCCCACTGAAAAATAGTCTTAAAGATGTTAACAAACGCCAGAGATGTACAGACAGCAGGTAAGCATCACATCACGTGCACCCAGCAAATACACACTGAAACAACGAGACACCACTGCACGTCTATCAGAACGGCCAAAATGTAGGAACCGACACCACCCAATGCTGGTGAGGACCGAAGCAGCAAGAACCCTCATCATTGCTGGCAGGATGCAGAGTGATGCAGCCACTGTGGAAGGCAGCGTGGTGGTTTCTTATAAAACTAAATATACTCTCACATTACAATCCAGTAATCATGCTCCCTGGTATTTACACCAAGGAGCTGGAATCTTATATCCTCACAAAAGCCTGCACACAGTTGTTTATAGCAGCTTTATTCATAATTGACAAAACTTGAAATGTGGACATTCAGTTTGTGACTTCAAATCTCTGAGGCAATGATGGACCTTTAGTAGGCGGACAGCCATGTGAAGAAAGATAAAATAAGGCCCACCCCTCACACAAACAGAAGTAACCTCAAAAGATCCCGAAGTCTACATGCAGAAGTGACTGACAGAAAACACAGCGGAGCCCGAGTGTGGGAAAAGCTTCCCAACTACGACGCCGGTCAAGAAAAGAGTGGTAAACACGCAAACGTGAAACGAAGGAAACTCGTGCCCAGGAAAGTGGTTCATAATCAGTCAGAAGACAAGTGACAAACAGGGAGAAATTATTTGCAGCATCTACTGGACAGAAAGAGTGACTACCCCTAATAATTGAGTTTTTATAAAGTGAGGGGGAAATGACCAAAAGTCCAATGGAAAACGGACAAAATACATGGACAACTTACAAAACCAGATGGTTCTTAATCCTATGAAGATGTTCACCTTCACTCCTGAAGAAATGAAGAGAAGTCCACAGAGACGCCATTGCTCCCCCATCAGAGCAACAAGGGGAGAGCGTTAACACTCTGCCAGCCCCAGGGAGGGCGATGCAGCGATACCCAGCCAAAGTGCTACACGTTGCCCCGAGAGCTCGCAGTCCCACTTGTAGGAATTCACCATAAAGACACACCTCACACCGCGTGAAAATACACACGTGTGAGGTCACACGTGCAGCATGGTGTGGAGTCGCCAAGTCCTGGCGATGACCAAATGCCACTCACAGGAGACCGGCTGAGTGAACCGCAGACAGTCACTCAGCGGAGGACCAGGTGGTTCCAAGGAGAAGTCTCTGGGTAGAAGGAGTGATTTCCAGGAGAAGAAAAAAGGGCAAAGAGCACATAGAAAGGAAGGGAACGAAGTTCATGTGTATCTGCTCATCTTTACAAAAAGAAAGGAAAAGCCAGAAAGCAGTGACACTAGTTATAAAAACGTGGAGGAGGCCCACGAGGGAGTGGTGTCCCTGAGCATGCCTTTGTGAACACTTCGATTTCTGGACGCACGGGAAAGGACGGGGAGGAAGTCCGATCCCGAGCCTGAGCACTAATGGAAAGATGTGAACCCAGTTACGTTTTAAATGAAAAACCAGCACAGCGGAGCAGGACGGCTCATCCAAGGAATTCGCAGACCAGCGTCTGCCTACGAACCTGCAGTCGTGCAACACGGCCAACAAGCAAGTCCACGGAGATTGCCGGGGTCAGGACTGTCACTGCGGAGGGCGGGTGCACGGATACGGGACCAGGGAGGCAAACGAGCCCGTGGGGTCAGCACGGCGCTGGGGATTCTCCCAAACACACATGTGCGTCTGTAGGTGTCTGTGTGCGTGCTCGCCCATCCTCCCTAGCTCCGTCCACACAGAGGACCTAAGGACGGACATCCTGAGAGCAGCGCCACGACCATTCCCCAACGAAGGAACCAGGGCCCCTCACACGGCTGATTTCAGGGCGGGACAGAGGCCCAGGGTCTTGAGCTAGGAAGGACACCGGGGCGTGGGGACCTGGTGCAGTGTGAGCACCAAGGTGATCGGGTGCGACCCAGACTGTCGAGGCCCAGCAGCAATCTGCAGACGCATGCTGATAACTGATGACAAGTATTTGAACACCGATACGTTATAAATGAGTAATAAATGCAAAAACGCATAAAGAATAAACACGGACGACAGACGAGAGGGAAGGCGGAGCTGGCTCGCACACACTGCTGAGCACCAGCTGGTGGGCGGGGGAGCTGCCAACCCGGGCGGAACCATCGGAGGGCGCGAGTCGGGAGAGTTGGAGGAGGGCCTCCCAGTGGACGCGTCTGCACACGCACGCTTGTCGGCTGCCGTCCACGCACAACATGGCAGCTTCGGTGGGAAATGCCGTCACCTCCTTCCTGAGACACACCGAGGCGCTCAGTGGTCAAGGCCACGCCACAGGCAACTCTCTCAAGCGGCTCAGAAAAAGCAGCCCCTCTTTATGCGTGGGAGTGGTGTGTGTGCGTGGTGACTATGCGTGGTGCGAGTGCGCGTGCGCGTGCACAGTATCAGCACGCATGGCGCGAGGGCTCGTGTGTGCGCGTGAGCGGTTATCAGCACACGCGTGGCGTGCGTGCTCTGGTCCATGTGCGCATGTTCAGTAGCACCCTTTCCCTGTATTGTCCTCAGTGCCTCGTGGTGTTAGATGCATTTCGGGTACTTCGTAAATAATACGTGCTTGTTCACTAAAGTGTAAAAGTATCAAAATTATCACTTAAAACACAACCTATGGGGAGGTAGTGTCTGGAAATACCACTTATCATGAGATCTCTAATAAGGAAACATTTAAATTTTTATTCTTGTTCCTCTGTGACTTCCCCAGAGTTTTGTCTGAGACAGAAACGGTGTGCCTGTGCCCACGAAGGGCTCGCCCTGCAGCTCGGGCGGGGGCAGGAGTCGCGGTCAGCAGGCGCCGAGGTTCCCACTGTCCACCGTCACAGAGACTCACATGCTCTGGCCCGAAGGGGGCGCTCCCTCGGGTGCTCCAAGAGGCCCAGGGCCAGCAGCCGAGGCATGGGGCAAGGCCTGCCGTCCCCGCTGCTCTAACCGTGCGTGGTCCCGGGTGGCCGTGGAAGAGCTGGGCCTCTTCCCTCAGGCCTGCGTCGGGGGCACGTCCGTGGTTCCGTTGTTTCTCGTACTGTCTCATCTGCCGGGATGCTGACGGAGCTCCGATGTGCTCGGAAGGACACTGGCCCCTTCCCAGGAAGGCCCACGGAGTCTCTCCAGAAGCACCAGCTTTGTCTTTAGGTTGACGTCAAGGGGAGGCAGTGTGGTCAGGTTCAGACTCACCCCGGTGGTGCCTGCAATGCCGGCCAGGACCCGGTGTGTGTCCCTGTAGAGGGCCAGGTGCGCAGGGGCGGCCTCCATGAGGAGGTGCGTGTAAGCCAGCATATGCCCCGACCCGGGCTGCACATCCTCCCTCTTCTCGTACCTGCAAGATTAGAGGGTGGCTGTACACCTGTGGCCCCCAGGGAGCCCACGCACCACCTCTGGGAGGAGCGCCTCATCTGCAGTCACAACACGGTGGGAACATACCTCCAGGCACTGTTGACCTCCAAAAACCGAGATACGCCTGTCTGTGCGGCAGCGACGTCGATGTGCAGAACGACATCTGCAGACAACCCCAAGGGCTTGGTGAGAACTGCGAGCGGCGCGCCTCTGGCCCCAGCTGCAGGTCCCGGCATGGCCCCCAGCACCCCGTCCCAGGGGACACCGGCACGGCCCCCAGCGCCCACCTGTCCTGGGGGACACCAACTCATGCAGTTTCCTCATGGCCACACCACCAGGATAGTTGAAGTGGGACACATACAGGGCTGTGGCCGAGTATGTGGCATTCACCACAAGGTGTCCTACCACGAGGAGGGACCCCACTTTATACAGCCAAGACTTCTTATAATTGTTCAGCCTGGAAAGAGAATAGCACATCTCAGAAGACACTGCGGCAGAAAACAGCTCCTGTCCACCGTGATCACAATGAGCACTGATCACCACGTAGATGCACAAACTATTAGAGAAAGTGAGTAAATACCACCTCGAAAATTTCCTCCACGTCATTCCACCCAGATGCCGATTTAAAATTTATATGATGTTTCCAAACATTCGGGTTACTGCTTAGATCAGCCTCAGGGGACAGACACATGCTGGGCGCTGCCCGGTTTGTAAGCAAAGGGGACGGGCAGGGCTGCAGCTGCCCTGGGAGCTCCGACAGAGACCACGAGGCCCCACAGACAGGGTGCTCTCTGCCTGGTCCTCTACGGTCTGCTGGCCCACTGTGAGCACAGGATGGATGAGGCCCGCACTCGGGTCAGGTGCTGCTGAGCTGTCAGCTCCCGCCATGGGCAGTGACCGTCCCGCCTCAGCCCCGTGGGACTCTGCCTGCAGCCCGGGCACCCTCTGCGGGGGCCCTTCGCTCTGCGCTGGGCCATCTCCCTCCTTCGGTAACCCCCACACCATCTCATGCCCCAAGCCCTGGGGCCAACAGCACTCCCCCGCCCTTCCCCCTTCCTCTGGCCTGTCATCTGCCCGGACAAACACCCGCCACGCAGGGCCTGTCCCTCCGAGAAGTCAGCCCCGGGGACTACCCACCTGACCGAAGCCTGCCCGGCCGCCCTGTGCCCTGGCTACCCCGTGAGGGTCCTCCCCGGGCGGCCGGGCCCTGGACGGTGTGCACAGCCGTGTGGAGACAGGCCCGACTGATCACAGACCGTCGGTGGCCTGAGGTGGCCCATCCTGACCTTGCTGCCCTCCCTCAACACAGGCGCCCGCTGAGACACGTCTGTTCACCCAGCGCCTGCCCCGCGTGACGGCGAGTGCGTGCGGCACGGCTGTGGACGCGGCGGACTCACAGGCAGGCGCAGCCCCTGGCGGCCACGATGTTGAGCACAGGGAAGGTGTAGATGACGAACCGCAGCTCCTTGTGCGGGAGCAGCGAGTACAGGGCCACGAAGCCCAGCGAGGGCGGCAGCAGCACCAGGGCCCTCCTGTCCACGGCGCCCAGGGGCACGAAGAGCAGGCTGCAGCCCAGGCCGCGGGGCAGGGCCGAGTAGAAATACCACAGCAGCGGGGAGGTCTCGGGTGGGACGGTTAAGGAGGCCACACGCCAGCGAGTCACCTGTCCACACGGAGCGGAGCGGGGCGGCACGGCGGACAGCCCCCGGGCCCCCCCCCCCGGCCTCTCCCCCTCCCGTCCCCCCGCCCCCGCTCCGCACGGCAGCACGGCCTGTCCCAGGGTGACGGGTGCGCTGGGGGCTTGTCACGCTATAGTCCCCAGCTGCGCATGTGCTTGCGTACTCCGCAACAAACCGTTGCGAGTCACCGTCAGAGATGATCCCAAACGCTCAGGTACAAACTGAGCGTCCAGAGGCAAGGCGGCGTTTCCACAGCGGGGAGAGCAGCTCCCGCCACGTCCCCTGAGTGAGGCCAGGGGCGCCAGCTGCCCTGCCCCGTGGCCTGACCTACAGAGACACTTGAAGGATACTCCCCAGTTGGAACTTTTGTTCAGGATGGTGTTGTACCAAAGCACCTTTCCCTCCGGCCACACGAGACATCGCCAAAAATAGGAGTCCACGGCGACCGTCAGTCCTGGGAAGACGAAGGAGACCCTCAGGAAAGAACATGGCCACCTGAGCAGCTCGGACTTCACCACAGCAGTGCTAACGGCAGCCCAGAGTTCCCGGCCACGGGTCGATGTCCCACGAGGCAGCCACGCTGGTGCAGAGGCCACGAGCCACGCTTCATGGGGAGCAGCCCGCGCATCGGGACGCTGGCTCCCCTGGTGAGCCAGGTGCGGGGCCCAGCCGTCCCCTCCCGGCCCGGACAAGGGGGAGAGTCTGGGGACAGAGCACCGGGCAGAGGGGAGAGGGCCTCTCGGGGAACCTCGGGCAGAACCGCAAGGGGAGCCGCGTGAAGACGTAATGCTGCTGAAGACTAAGGTGATCTCGTTTAAAAACCCTCTCTCCTGAATTTCTCTTCATCTTCCTAAAACCAGACAAAGCAGAGCTTCCAGTGAAAACAGCTCCGGCGACCCCACTCACCCAAGCAGAGGGCCCCGGCCGGCAGGGCGCAGCGCAGGGCCTTTGCCACGGAGAGCCTCCGGGTGCAGAGCGGTGTCAGCAGCACCAGGCCCAGGAACAGGCTCAGCTCGGCCCTGAACACGAGGATGGCGAAGGCCGAGAGCCGGGTGAAGCGGGCCCACTTCAGCTGCAGCCAGGCCGTGAGGGCCAGCAGCACTGCAAGACATGGGGTGCCGGGGGCAGGCCGATTGACTTCCCCATCGTGAAAGCCACACAGAACCCTCCAGAAGACAGCCAACACCATTCAGACCCAGATCTGCTGACACTGGGCCCGGGCTCCAGCCATGGAGCCTGCCCCATCACTCGGCCTGGGCCCACTTCTACGGGCCCGAATGCACCCGGACCCCAGATGACTGCGTCCCGCAACCTGCTTCCTAGCAACCACACGCCCCGGCTGCACACGTCTGGTGCTAGCCTCGCCTGGCCTCCCTCCAGGCACGCAGCATGTCCTGCTGGCTCCACGGGGGTTCCTTCGGAATGGCGCCTGCCTGCCACCTTCCCCACCACACCCCACAGGGGTCCCCTCCCACGGCATGGGGAGGTCCCGGCCGTGCCTCTGCTCTGACCGGCACAGACCCCCAGACCCACGCCATCCACAGCCTCCCGTCCCACTGGCTCTCGGTCTCCTCATGGCTCCCAGGGTACGGCCATTCTCCCATCTGCCTGGGTCACCCCCAGGACACCTGGACAGAGCTGCCCGTCTGCCGCGCAGGCAGCTTCTCTCTGCCCAGCACTCACTGTCCGCAGGCTAGGGGAGCCCTCCCAAATGGCCCCTCGCTGGAAAGTGCACCTCCATCCAGCACCGAGGCCCTGCTTCTCGTCACAGGGTATCCTGTCACTGGGCATTTCCGAGATGCCCAGCAGGAAGCAGCTTTCGTCAGGCAGACGCACCCTGGACAGACACCCCTTCACCTGGCCAGTGCACCCAGTGACCCGCGTGGCTCAGCAACTACCTACCCACGGGCAGGGCCAGCACGTTGGGGAGCGTCCGCGTGCAGTAGAACATCAGGTGGAACTGCGTGGCTGTCACCCAGCAGAACATGGTGGCCACCGTGGCCCCAAACTGCCGCCTCACTTCTTTTTGTAAAGTCCAGAGTCCGAAGATGACGCCAAGTCCAAGGACAGCCCTGACTAAACAAACACGGCAATGTGTGTGGCCGGCAGCGACAGGCGCGGGCAAAGGGGATCCCGACAGGTTACTGGTGACGATGAGTTAATGACCAGGTGACAATAAAACCACCTCAAAAGGGGGCATCGACTCTGCTACTGAAAACAGACGGGGCGTGGGGAACGGACAGCCTGGACCCTGGCACCTCGACCCTACAGCTTCGCTGTGACCGCATGGCCTGGGGCAGGTGGGCTCTGGGAGACACGGCCACTGGGCAGGGCAGGCAGTGTCCAGAGGTCAGTGTGACGGGCTCAGCACCCTGGAGGTGACATGACACCTCCAGGGCCACACATGCTGAGAGCCCGATGCTCAGATGTGGCGCTGGCTCTTCCGTCTGGGGCTCCCTGGACCCCACAAAACCAGCACAGCTTGTTTAGCTGCCCCCCCGGGGTGGCGGATTTCCGGGAGTCTACATAGGTACAGGCAGACAGCTAGCTGCAGAGTGTGTTTGAGTTCATTGGGGAAATCTAAATAACGTCCGGGTACAGACACGATAAAAACGTACTAAAACAGAAAAATGGTGATTGTTGGCTCAACAATGAGGTTGTGGGGCAATATGTACAGAACGTTCTAAATTTGGTTTTGAAAGTTATGCACGTGGGCACACAAAAAGATCCAGACCGATCTGCACAAAGCCCTATCAACGGTGACCTCCGGGTGGGGGAAGGGAGGCCTCGGATGCAGACGGATACAGCAACGGCAAGGCTGGTTGCTCCTCGGCAGGAGGGTGCAGCACCGCGGGACGCGCCACGAGCCCGCTGCATCGCCCGCCTGGGGAGGAAGGGCCGGCACCCTCACTTCACGGACCCGAGAGCAGAAGTGAGAGGCGCTCAGTTAGCTGTCCCAGCTTATGCCCCAGAAAGGGCCGATGTCTGAGCTGCCCTCGTGCTCCAGACCACCACGGTGAGTGGCCACAGACGGCCAAGCTTCCAACGGAAGGACACTCCTGAAGGAGGGAGCCTCCACCGGGCTCCCTGAAATCCCCTGACCACACCACGGTTCTTCCTTCCGTCCTCATCTGAAGACCCCCTTACCTACTAGCTGAGAATAAAACTTGGATGCTTCTAGCAGGGACAGCACATAGACCGCAGGGCTGGAGAGCACCGCCACGGCCAGGGGCCCGAGGAACGTCCTGGGGACCACTCCGGGGAACTCGAGATGGTCATACTGCAGGGAGAACGGAAGGTCAGTGGGCGCCCGCGTGGGGATGCTGCACGGTCTTGGACGCAGGGGCTCACCTTGCCCACATCCAGCCGGTGGTAAAGCAAGTCATGCATGGCCTGCAGGTTGAAGCTCTCCTCCACTTTGGCATAGGGGCAGGTGATGAGGTGGATGGCGGCTACAGCCAGCAGCAGCCCCAGCAGCCGGCGCTGCCTGCCCACGCCCGACGGCCTCTTCCCAGCCATCGCGCTCTCCCGCCTCCCGGGCCTTCAGCGGTCATCAACAGTGTGGCTCTGTGAGCCTGGGGAGAAGACGAAAACGCAGATTCCCAGGTTTCAAAAGTCCCCTGTGAGTTAACACCTGGGGGTCTGGTGAAGGGTGTGTGTGAACTCTTTAAACTACTGTTGTGGGGGCGCCTGGGTGGCTCAGTCGTTGGGCGTCTGCTTTCGGCTCAGGTCATGATCCCAGGGTCCTGGGATCGAGCCCCGCATCGGGCACCCTGCTCTGCGGAGAGCCTGCTTCTCCCTCTCCCACTCCCCCTGCTTGTGTTCCCTCTCTCGCTATGTCTCTGTCAAATAAATAAAATCTTTAAAAATAAACAAACTACTGTCGTTAACATCCATAGATCTGAACACATCAAAAAAGAAAGTTCAAAGAAAAATCATGCTTGAGCGCCTTTTACGTCTTAACCAGCTACCTCACGCTCTGAGCTGTGTGCAGATATTTCCAGGAAGAAAGGCTTTATTTGCAGGACTGAGTTGGTCCTCCAGGCAGCCGGGCCCGGGGCTGGCCCAGCCTCTGGAGGGCAGCAGGGTGGCCCCTGCCCTCGAGAGGCTCAAATCTGGCAAGAGAGTAGGTCCCCATGGTCTGGGCAGAGAGACCGGGGACAGGAGGCTGTGGGGCGGGAGGGATGCGTCTGGAGGACCACAGAGGGGCAGCCACAGGAGGGCAGGAGGCGGGATGCAGGGCTCAGGGCAGCCAGCGAAGCCCCTGCATCCAAGTACAACGGGACAGGAGCTGTGGACGCCCGCCCTGCTGTGTCCTGCCCCTCACCCTGGGAGCCACGTGGCACCTCGCGTTGTGCACATGAATACGTAGGTGGCAAAAACATGAGCGTGTCCTCGAGGTGTTCAGACAGGTGTGCCTGCGGTGGGTCACCAAAATCCCAACAGGGCAGTGCCGGGAGGAGCCTATGGTACCAGGCTTCCTGGGAGACACAGAGTTTTCAACTTGTCGGGAGGAAAGATGACAAGCTCTTCTTCAAGTTCCTGGCTTCCCTTAAAACATGATTTTATTTGATCAAATAAAATTTGATCAAAACCAGAAGGATCAGCAACAAAAGGAGAGAGCCACCGTGCTCACTACCTTTTACTGGAGGGAGATTTATGACGTCTGTGGTCGCCAGAGACGGTCCACAAGGGAAGGAAAATCTACGGAGGAGGAGCAGGAGTCCTGCTCAAGGTGGTGGTGAGGTGGGGGCAGGAGGGGAAAGGGGCTTTAATAAAAAGAATTACCAGGACAGCATGCAATTCCTTTCTTCCCAGATATAAAAACCACGGAGGGACAGGGCTGTTACCAGCTTGTCCCCCCGCCTTTCTAAAGCGTAAGCTGCTTGAGGGTGGGACTTGTGTGCCCCCTCCCCAAGGAGCAGGGACTCGTCATCAAAGGAGCCAAGCGTGAAAGGGGCTGGCGCTGTTCTCCCCGCAGAGCCTGGCGCGCAGCAGGGCTCGACGAACTACGCGAAGAGGAATCCAGCAAAACTCTCACTCGTGGATCTCATCGCAGCAGCGGCGGTTTCATTAAAAACGCGTTAACGCTTTAACCTCCAGCAAAGCCGAGGGGACCGCAGGACGCTCGTAGGGAACCCTCGGCTCCCCGTACTGTTGCGAGGGGGGAGCGCTGAAAGAAACCGGAGGCACCCGCACGCCAGCTGTCGAGACGCCGCTTGGCCGAGCGCGTCGCGGGCCCACAGCTGTCCCGCGGCAGCGAAGACCAGGCCCGCCCGCCCCGAGGCCGCGCCCCCGCAGGGAAACGCAGACCGTCCGCTCGCAAGCTGCGGGGTGCGGCGGCCGGCGCGCAACCCGGCTGCCTCGGTCCCGCAGGAGCCGAGCGCAGAGGCCACAGGCGCGCCGCCTACGTGGCGGCACCGCAGCGCCGAGGCCGAGCCGGGGCGCGGGCCCAGCGCCCGGGAAGGCGGGGCGGAAGCAGGTGCGGGAAGCAGGTGCGGCGCCGCGCGGGGCTGGAGAGCGAGAGGGCCGCCCGGCGCTGCAGCCGGGCGCCGCAGGGGCACAGGCCGGCTCTCGGCGGAGGCGGCGGCCTGCGAGGCCCGCCCTCCCGCCAGCCCGGGCGAAGGGCTCCACCGAAAACGGACGACCCGCAGGCTGGAGACGAGAGCGGCAGCTCGAGGCCAGAGACGACCGCGGCCCACGCTCGTCGGGGCGCTCCCCGTTCAAACCCGGTTCCCGCGCCCGCCGCCTCGCGCCGGCGGCGACGCTGCGCCCGCTCGGGGCCCCGCGCCCTCCCCGCCGGCCCGGGCCGCGCCCTCGCCCGCCGCCAGCCCCGCGAGCCCGGCCGCGGCAGGGCGCGCTGACCTCGCCAGCCCGCGGCGGCGTCCCTCGAAGCACGGCCCCTACGCCCGCGGGCGGCCGGAAGCGGAGTGACGGAAGCCGAGAGCCGACGAGAGGCCCTTGCCCAAACCTAACATGGCCCCCCCAGCCTAGTTGCCGTCGCGGCGGGGCGCCCTCCCCGCCCGGAGTAAAGATGGCCGCCGCGGGCGGAGCGCGCGGGCAGCCGGCTCCGATCTCCACGCCCCCGTCCCCACCCCTCCCGGCTGGACGCTGACCCGGGGCCTTCCTATTGGTCGCTTCTCGTGGCGAGCCCGGATTGGGCCACATGGGGACGGGGAGGGTCCCACGGACCAATAGCGGCGCGAGGGCTGGCGGTGGGCGGAATCCCGCCCGGCGCCGTCAAGTGGCCCCGGGAACTGCCCGCACCGCGGAGCGGTGGGCGGCCGCAGAGGCCGAGCGCTCGGCCGGTTTCCGCCGCACCTCGGCTCTGCCCGCGCGGCTGCGTCCTGCGCAACGCGGCCCGCCATGCGCCCGCCGGCCCCGTCCGCGCTGGGGCTGCTGCTGCTGCTGCTGCTGCCGCCGCCGCCGCCTGGTGAGGCCACCAAGAAGGCGACGCCCTGCAAGCGCTGCCGGGAGCTGGTGGACAAGTTCAGCCAGGTGGGCCGGTCGCCCCACGGGGGACACGGAGACGGGGCGGGGGGGCCGGCCTGGGGGGCGGCGGGGCCGAGGCCGCCCCGCCATGGACCGGGGTCACGGACCCAGGGTCGCCCCGCCATGGGCCGGGGTCGCCCCGCCATGGGCCAGGGTCACGGACCCAGGGTCGCCCCGCGATGGGCCGGGGTCGCCCCGCCATGGACCGGGGTCACGGACCCAGGGTCGCCCCGCGATGGACCGGGGTCACCCCATCATGGACCGGGGTCACGAACCCAGGATAAACTCGGCATGGATCGGGGTCACCTCACAATGGACCAGGGTCATGAACCCAGGGTCTCCCCACAATGGACTGGCGTTGCACCGCAATGGACCGGGGTCACCCCACCATGGACTGGGGTCATGAACCCAGGGCCGTACCACAATGGACCGGACTCACTCCAGGGATGGACCCCAGGTCACCGTGGTGATGGACCCGGGGTCACCGGCAATGAATGGCTTTGTCCTCACAGTGGACACGAGTCACCCCCATGGTGGACTAGGGTTGCTCCCACGAGGGATGTGGGTGGGGGCAGCAGTGCTGAGCCCCGTGCCCGCCCTCTCTCCCCGCAGGGAATGGTGGACACCGCAAAGAAGAACTTTGGCGGCGGGAACACAGCTTGGGAGGAAAAGTCGCTGTCCAAGTATGAATTCAGGTGGGTGCCACAGCCCTGCTCTGACAGCCCAGCTTCGGCACTTGACATGTCCCCGCGAATGCCGTCACCCACACTGACGACGGGGACACACACGGGGTCCCTTCAGTGCAGTCACTTGTACTCTGGCCCCTAAATGGCCTTTTGCTTCCACACTTGTCCCCACATCCACTCTCCACATGGCAGACAGAGTGGTCTTTTAATGGTGCACGCGGGAACTGAGTCCCACCACGTAAAGGGTCGCTGGCTTCCCCGCAGGTCGGGTTAGCCCTCTGCCTGTTGCACCCCACGTCAGGGTCTCCCTTGCCACCCTGACCACCGCCCTCTGAGTTTAATTCTCCCCGTGGTACCGACGGCGCTCGTCCCCAGCTGATGCGTTCTGCACCAAACTGCCACCATCGTTCCCACCTAGCACCAAGTGGGGCCTCAGGATGTCCCTGTGGGACGGACGCTGACCACCTGGGCTTGCCTCCTCACCTTGCAGTGCTGACGGGCTTGTGTTTCAGTGAGGTCCGGCTGCTGGAGATCACTGAGAGCCTGTGCGGGAGCAGTGACTTCGAGTGCCACAGTCTGCTGGAGGAGCACGAGGAGCACCTGGAAGCCTGGTGGCTGCGGCTGTGAGTGTCCCCGCGCCCCCCACCCTGTGCCCCCACCCCCCGGCCCCATGCCCCCGTGCCCCCACCCAGTCCCCCCCGGCCCCGCACCCCCGTGCCCCCCACCCAGTCCCCCCACCCCCGGCCCTGTGCCCCCACACCCCCCCACCCGGTGCCCCCCGGCCCCACACCCCCGTGCCCCCCACCCAGTCCCCCCACCCCCCGGCCCCACGCCCCCACGCCCCCCACCCGGTGCCCCCCACCCCTGTGCCCCCACCCAGTCCCCCCACCCCCCGGCCCCACGCCCCCACGCCCCCACGCCCCCCACCCGGTGCCCCCCACCCCCGTGCCCCCACCCAGTCCCCCCACCCCCCGGTCCCCCACCCTGTCCCCCCCCACCCCCGGCCCTGTGCCCCCACGCCCCCCACCCTGTGCCCCCCACCTCCCGGCCCCACGCCCCCGTGCCCCCACCCAGTCCCCCCCCACCCCCCCCGGCCCACCACCCTGTCCCCCCAACCCCCGGCCCCATGTCCCCACGCCCCCCACCCTGTACCCCCCTTGGCCCCCCACCCAGTCCCCCCACCCCCGGCCCTATTCCCCCCACGCCCCCCACCCCCTGGCCCCACGCCCCCGTGCCCCCCATCCAGTCCCCCCCTGGCCCCGCATCCCCGTGCCCCCACCCAGTCCCCCCACCCCCCGGTCCCCCACCCTGTCCCCCCCCACCCCCGGCCCTGTGCCCCCACGCCCCCCACCCTGTGCCCCCCACCTCCCGGCCCCACGCCCCTGTACCCCCATCCAGTCCCCCCCGGCCCCACGCCCCCGTGCCCCCACCCAGTCCCCCCCACCCCCCCGGCCCACCACCCTGTCCCCCCAACCCCCGGCCCCATGTCCCCACGCCCCCCACCCTGTACCCCCCTTGGCCCCCCACCCAGTCCCCCCACCCCCGGCCCTATTCCCCCCACGCCCCCCACCCCCTGGCCCCACGCCCCCGTGCCCCCCATCCAGTCCCCCCCTGGCCCCGCATCCCTGTGCCCCCACCCAGTCCCCCCACCCCCTGGCCCCCCACCCTGTCCCCCCAACCCCCGGCCCCATGCCCCCACGCCCCCCACCCTGTCCCTCCCCTTGGCCCCCCCACCCAGTCCCCCCGCCCCCTGGCCCCCACCCTTTTCCCCCCACCCCCAGCCCTGTGCCCCCATGCCCCCCACCCTGTGCCCCCCCGCTCCCCCCCACCCTGTCCCCCCACTCCCCGGCCCCCCACCATCCCCCCCACCCCCCACCCCCCGGCCCCGTGCCCCTGTGCCCCCCACCCAGTCCCCCCCGCCCTCGGCCCCGTGCCCCCACCCAGCCCCCCCACCCTCGGCCCCGTGCCCCCATGTCCCCCATCCTGTCCCCCCCAGCCCCACGCCCCCATGCCCCCCACCCTGTGCCCCCAGCCCCGTGCCCCCTGCCCCCCACCCTGTGCCACCGCTTGGCCCCCCCACCCAGTCCCCCCACCCCCGGCCCCATGCCCCCTTGCCCCCGTGCCCCCCACCTTGTCCCCCTCACCCCTCCCAGCCCCATGCCCCCCTAGCACCCCCCCACCTTGTCCCCCCGGTCCTGCACCCCACACCCCTGTGTCCCCATACCCTGTCACCCCCACCTCCCCAGCCCCGTGCCCCCATCCCCCCACCCTGTCGTCCCCTCCTGGCCTCGTGCCCCTGTACCCCCCCATCCCCATACCCCAGGCCCACCCATGCCCCTGCATGCCCCCTAGTGCCCCACCCCTACCCTGTCCCCCCAGCCCCGCACCCCCATACCCCCCACATACACCCTGCCCCCCGCTACACACCGCCATGCCACAGCCTGGCCCCACTGCTCTCCCCTGGGTGTTCAGTGAAGCTCTAGCATTCGTGACTTCTTATTTTTTAGTTTATAAATTTGAAACAACTTCAGACTTAGAAGAGTTTGCACACCCTTGTTCTCCTTCTTGCCCACGTGCTACCACCTTTTATTACCTTAACGTGATAACACTAGCGAGTCGGTAACGGGAGAAGCTGTTCACACCTGGGCCGTTGTTTCCCTGACGTGATCTCTGGAGCACATGTTGTAATAAACTGTGTTTTTGTTTTGAAGAAATCTGTCACATGAGCTTTAACGGACATGTTTTTAATTCCTCAGGAAGAAGGAGTATCCCGACTTATTTGAATGGTTTTGTGTGGAGACGCTGAAAGTTTGCTGTTCACCGGGAACGTATGGGCCAGACTGCCTCGGTACGTCGTTGGGGAAATCTTGAGTGTCCTGCATCATTCCCAGTGTCCGTGTCGTGATTCCCAGGTGGCCAGAGGCATGGTTGGGACCTGGGGCCATCAGCTCCCACAGGGCCCCGGGCGCCGGGTCCCTGCCCCTCCACGCCGTAGGGCCTCCTCCTGGGGGCCGGACAGCCCTGAGTGCCTGCTCCTAAGAGGGCTCCTAACTCAGGGGTCTGCAGGCCTTCGGTGGGGCCCCCGTGGGTCGGTCTTAACCCAGCTGCGTGGGTGCTACCCTCTGAGTGCAAGGAGGCAGCTCTGTGGCTTTCGTGGCCCCCGCCCGGCTCTGCCCGCGGAGCAGCAAAGACCTGTCTGTGGGAGGCGAGGGGGCAGCGGGCGTCTGCGGGTGGGATGCGTCGCCTCAGCCTTCGGGGGGAAGCCACAGTGAAGAGGCGCGCGTTGAACCAAAGCCACGGTCCGTGTGTGGCGTTGCCGGTCACTCCGGCGCTCAGCGGGATGGAGCGGCGCGCGTTGCAAGTCGGGGCCCTCTCCCTGGCCGCGGCCGCCTCCTGCTGTCCTGCCGGCGTGTGGCCGCGGCGGGCTGTCCTCGCTGTCCCAGGCGGCCGCACCCACGCCACGTGTCAGCATCCCTGTTGTCCCCACGTTTCGGGGAGGCTGCCCGAGGCCCCCCTCGTTCCCGAGCAGGTGAGCCCCGTGCCTGCAGACCCCAGGGCGTCCTCCAGACGGCCTCGCCGCACTTGCGGGCTCATGAGCTCCCGAGAGGAGCTTGTTGAGGGAGGAAGTATGGGTTCACGGGGCGATGCCCACGCCGTTTTGGTTGTGAAGCGGTCGGTGAGCAGGCTGCCGCGCTCCCTGGGGGAGTGTCTGAGTGGCGGGTTTGTGTCGCCCGCAGCGTGCCAGGGCGGGTCCGAGAGGCCCTGCGGCGGGAACGGCCACTGCAGCGGGGACGGCAGCAGGCAGGGGGACGGGTCCTGCCAGTGCCACCTCGGCTACCAGGGGGCCACGTGCACCGACTGCATGGACGGCTACTTCCGCTCGCCGAGGAACGAGACGCACAGCGTGTGCGCAGGTACGTGGGCCGCGCCGGGACACGCGGGAGCAGCCTTCTTGGAGCTGCTGCCACACGTGGGGGCCTGTTGGCTCCCCCCGCACCCCCAGAGCTAGGGGGCCCTTGTGAACCGCGCCAAGGGCCACAGCAGCGCGTGCAGGCCCCGGACGGTCTCGCTGTCTGTCCCTGAACAAGCCCAGGAGGGAAGAGTGGTCCACCTTTCCCCACGTCCTCCGGACAAGGACCGAGCGGGTGGACCGTGTGGAGTCGGTGGCCGTGTCCCATCCACACCAGCCTTGGTTCTGGGTGACCTGTCACCTGCCGTGTCCTCGCAGGGGCCTGCTGTCGCCCCGCGGCCACCTGGGCAGGATGACCCGCCTGCATGGTGCAGGCCACAGAGGCCCGCGTCCCCGCACCAGACGGCAGAGCGGTGGCCCAAACGAGAACTAGCACACCCGGGGCCACAGCGCGTGGCCCCCCGGCCCCGTCAGAGGACGCGCCGCCTCCCTTACTGGGAGCAGGCGGGCCCTTCCCACCCGGGTCCTCAAAGGTGCCCGGCCATTGTTCTGGGCTCCCTCCCGGTCGGGCCTCCGACGGGCCTGTGGGGTCGTTCGCGTCGGTAGTGAGCGCACTGAGCGCCGGGCGGACGCCGGCCGTGCCTTCCGTGCGTGGGGCGTGGGCCCGCGGCCCGACGGAGGCTTGCGCAGACCGCCGCGGAGGATGGCCAGCACGGCTCCCTTCTGCATACGTTTTCTCATCGATCTCTTGCCGACGTTGGGAGACGTCTTGGCATCAGCGACTGAGCTGAATTCCTGCGTTAGGGCCCGTCGTCGGCCCGCGGCTCCCTTGGACGCTCCGTGCAGGACGTGTTGGACCACCAGGAAGGCCGTGGCCTCTCCGGTTCCGGCGCCTGGCCCTTGCAGGGCACACCGGGGCTGGGGGCCGCCTGGCGGGCGTGGGCTCCGGGGTTTGGGCAGCTGCCTTCCTCGGGTCATAAGCCCTTTCCCTGGGGTTCCTGTCCACTAAGAACGTGACCGTGAAGGGGCCCTGAAAGCCCATGTGGTGTTTTTCTCATTAAGTTCAGGAATATTATGAAACACGAGAGTCGATTTTTATATTGTTGAATGAGCCTTGCTTTACTGGGGTTTTTTCTTACTTGTATTTGGTTTTTGTTTTCGTCCTAGTGAAGGTAAATTCCTAATTTCTGAAATGACCTTTGTGTCCTGTTTGTTACTGAGAATGGGATTCACGCATGTTGACAGGTGTCCCACCTCTGCTTTCCAGCTTGTGATGAGTCGTGTAAGACGTGCATGGGCCCTACCAACAGAGACTGCGGCCAGTGCGCGGTGGGCTGGGTGCAGGAGGACGGCGCCTGCGTGGGTGAGGCCGGGCGGGCTCCCCTCCCCTCCCTTCCCCTCCTCTCCACCTCTCCTTCCTCCCTCCCTCCTCCCTCCTCCTTCCCTCCTCCCTCCTCCCTCCTCCTTCCCTCCTCCCTCCTCCCTCCCTCCCTCCTTCCTCCTCTCTTCTCCTCCCTCCTCTCTTCTCCTCCCCCTCCCCTTCCCCCTTTCTCTCCTCTCCTTCCTCTTCCGCTCCTTCTTTCTTGCCTCCGTCCCCCTCCCTTCTCCAGGTACAGGCAGGGAAACTGAGGCACAGACCTCCCTTTGGCCTGGTCTAGCCGCTCAGCCACAGAGTGGAGGCATGCCTTCCTGACACACACACACAAGGCCGCAGAGTCCAGGCCCTGTCCCCACCTGTCCCCACGCGCCCAGCCTGGTGGCCACCGTGTGCTTCTGCTGTACCCTTTCCTTTGAGCTCCAGCCTGCCTGTGAGCCCTGGCTTCCAACCCAGTGCCTCAGGAGCCCCGGGGAGGGCCTGGCAGTAGGGCCAAGGGGCTCCTCCTCAGGCCCGGGTGCCGGCAGGCAGCGGGAGGAACGGCAGGCGGAGGCCAGGCTGCGGGCAGCAGACCTGTCCCTAGTGGCTCGTCTCGAGTGGGTGGTGGTCCCAACACCGACCCGGAGCTTCTGCGTGTCCACGCGGAAGCACAGGATGCTCACGGTAGCTCTTGGTCCCTCACAGCGGCCCCTCCCCCGGGGATGCTAAATGTTCCTTGTCCCCCCTGCACGTGGAAGGCCTCCGGGAGAAACATGGACATGTGTCCTCCACACAGTGGCCACCTCCCTCTCCAGGCCGGCCGTGGATTGTGTCCGGCCACCCACCATGTCATGTCCACCGGGGTCCGGGGGGCCTGTCCCTCACAGCTGCGCTGCTGTGTTCCAGATGTGGACGAGTGTGCGGCAGAGACGCCTCCCTGCAGCGACCAGCAGTATTGTGAGAACGTCAACGGCTCGTTCGTGTGCGAAGGTGCCTGGGCCCCGGCTCCTGTGGGCGGGCGGGCCGGCACCTCCCCGGGCCCTGGGTTCCAGGTCCTCCTTTGCGAGCTGTTGTCCGCGGTTCGCCCACGTGACTTCTGTGGGTTCTGCCTGCTGTAGAAAGTGGAAGGTGGCAACCCACGTAATAAGATACTTGCTGCAGAAAAATCAGAAAATTCAGATAAGTTGAAAAGATAATTTTTTTTTTTTTTTAAGATTTTTATTTGTCACAGAGGGAGATAGTGAGAGCAGGAACACAAGCAGGGGGAGTGGGAGAGGGAGAAGCAGGCTTCTGCGGAGCAGGGAGCCCGATGCGGGGCTCGATCCCAGGACCCTGGGATTATGACCTGAGCCGAAGGCAGACGCCCAACGACCGAGCCACCCGAGCGCCCCAAGACGATAATTTTTAAAACCACCAATTCCGTGGAGTGGGGAGCTCTGTTAACAGTGTTACCGCGCTCGGCCTCGTTCCACGGGGCCATGACTGTTTACGCCGTGTCACGTTGTCCGCGGTGTGAACGTGCACGTTCGTGATGCTGGGGGCTGCCCCCATTCCACGGTCTTCTTCGGCAGTCTGTTGTGGGATGTTCAAGTCCTACCAGTTCTCCCACAGCTGTGAACTCAGAATACCTCGGTAGATAGAGCTTTGCGTATTCTTCCTTGTTTTCTTGGGATTTGTTTCCAAACCACTCGGGAGAGTGGATTGTAGGGCCCCGGCGTCCCCAGAAGGTTGCACTGACGTGCTCTCAGCAGTGCATGAGGCTGCCTGGCCTCCCCCTGCCGCGTCTGCGGCCCCCCAGGGCAACAGCCCTGCCGGTAGTGAGCCCTGACCCGGGAGCGTCCGCGTTTCTCCCTGGGTCTTCCCACCGAGCTCCTAGCCGGCCGGTCCCGCGGTGCCCGAGCTGGAGGTGGTTTTGTCTTGCTCCGAGAAGACGGTCTGCGGAAGGGGGGTGTCCGTGTGCGGTCGCGGCTCTGGGGGTGCAGCTCGCTGCTTTGCCGGGAGACAGGGCTGGGGTGTCGAGGACACACTCTCTGTGGCACCCACACGTTGATGAGGGGGACGCCGGATTGTCACGTGGCGCGGCTTCCGGTCCCATTTTGCTCACAGGCGGCTGACGTCGATGCCTGTCCGCTCTTGTTCTAGAATGTGATTCTACGTGTGTGGGCTGCACGGGGAAGGGTCCGGGACACTGTAAAGAGTGCATCCCTGGCTACACCAAAGAGAGCGGCCAGTGTGCAGGTCAGTGCCCTTGCGTCTGTGCTGGACTAAGACGGAACGTGGCAGAGGGGCCACCCTATGGACGGTCCCGCGAAGAGCTGGTGGGGGTGGGGCACCGGCTCCAGCCCTTTCTGCGACTCTGTTTCCCCCAGCCTCTCAAGCGTGAGATGCAGAAGCAGCAGGTGGGGGACCGAGGGTCTGTCCCAGCCGGCCCCCAGGTGTCAGGTGTGCGTGGTGCTGGCGATCCTGGGGCCAGGGGCTCTGCTCCAGCCTCCCGCGCCCAGCCCCCCCCACTTGCCACCCCCCACGGCCCCCGTGGCTGCACGTCAGGCCCTCCGTGGTCGGGACCCGGCTGGAACCCGCTTGGAAAAGGCAGCGAATCCACCGATGCCCCCACGGCGTGAGCTCGCGTGGGGCTTCCCACCGCCACACGCCTGCGCTGTCCCTTCTCGGCTCCTCTACCCGTCCGCGGACCCCCCCCAAGACCTGCCCTGTCCCGTGTCACTTTCCGGTGCGGGAGCGAATCGTGAGTGCGTGCGTCCCGTGATGGTGACGTGTTTGCGGGTGCAGCGGCCAGCCCCAGCAAGCATCTCTGTTGCAGACATAGACGAGTGCGCAGGTGCAGAGAAGGCGTGCACGCGCCAGGACGAGAACTGTTACAACACTCCCGGGAGCTACGTGTGCGTGTGTCCCGAGGGCTTCGAAGACACGGGAGACGCGTGTGTGCGGACGCAGGCCCTGGGCGGCGGTGAGTGGTGTGGCGCTGTGCCCGGCTCGGAAGCTCACAGCAAAAGCGGCCCGAGGAGGGTGCTGGCGGGGTCGGGGAAGCCAGGAGGGGAAACGTCCGTGGGGGAGGTCGGGCGGGAAGGAGAGTCGGTGACCCCAGGGTCGGCAGGAGAGGCCGGCGGCCGTCCCCGCGTGAGCTTCCCGAGAGCCTGGGGCCAGCACCGCTCCGAGCCTGTGGGGCAGGATCGGCCCGTCTGTGCCCGCCTGTGCCCGCTTCCGGCGGGTCAGGCTCGGCTTTCCGTGGCTTACAGCTGCGACCCTCCGATGCCTGCCTCTGTCCACGTGGCCTTCTCGTGGCCTGTGTGTCCATGTCCCAATTTCCCTCTTCCTATACGGACCCACCCCAGTGACCCCCCTCACCCTGACCGTCCGTAAAGCGCCCCCAATTCTGGGGTTAGGATGGCCCCATGTTCTGGGGACACGGCTCTTCCGTGACGGTCTCGTAGAAGTTGTGGAAGAACGTGGAGCCGAAGGGGCAGGGGCGGTGTCCAAAAGACACTGACGCAGGGTTTTCCTGAACGAGGAAGACCAGACGCAGACTCCGGGAGCTGCCCGACCCCGAGCCGGGCCGAGAGGCGCGGGGGCACAGCCAGGTGCCCGTAGTCAACCCTGGGCGCCAAGGACAGGGACGAACCCAATGTCCGCGGGGAGCAGGGCCATGTGCCACCTCCGCCCCCAACATGTCCTGGGGGGCCACCCCACCTGCACCCCTCACCATCGTCCTAGCTCCTGTTGGCCCCGGCTGATGGGGGAGCGCCTCGCCATCCCTGTCTTCTGCACCCGAAGCAGAGGGCAGCCCCAAAACGTCCTGCGGCCGCACCTCCTGCCTGGATGCCCCCAGCCGTGGGGGCTCGGGACCGTCCCCGCGGAAACCTGGCCGCCACACCCTCAGCGCCTCTCGTGCTGGGATTTTACCCGACGATCTGTGTTTGTTTCCCGGCAGAAGTCACAGAAGAAGACCCAACACAGCCGCCCTCACGTGAAGATTTATGATGCGCGTCCGGAGGCCAGACCCGCCCTTTAAATTATTCAGACTGACGTCCTGGAAATGCGGTCCTCACACCCGTTTCTCCAGGGGATGGCGGAGGCGAAGCTGCCACCTTGGAAATGGTTCATGCCCATTTGGCCCTTAAAAAAGCTGCAGTTTCTGGTTGTTCTTACACAGATTTGTATATTTTGATACCGTTGTTTATAATAAAATTGACCATTGAAGGTAGTCAGGCACAGGACACGTGCGAGTCTGTCTCACTGAAAAAACACGAATGCTTCAGGATGGGGTGTGCCCCACACGACCTGCTGGCCCTGGGGCGGCGCCACCACGGGCTCGCGAGGGTCCTGGGAGTCTTGACTGGGAGAGTGGGTGTTGTGGAGGCGGGACCCCCGGGCCGGACACGGCCATCCCGCCTTCGGGGCTGCAGCTGGAGAAGAGAGTCCATCGTAAGCCCTGGGGCCAGTTTCTCGTCCAGGAATGAAGTTGAGAAAAACGCAGGCTGTGGCTTCATGGGGAGGCCCCTCTGAGCCCCCCGAGAGTGTTCTCACCGGCGGGAGCGGCCAGCCCCCCAGGCTCAGCCAACCCCAAGTGAGCACCCGCACCTCCACTCCCGTCCAGGCGGCTGTCACCCTGGGGGCGGTCGCCTGGCCCCACTGTCCTGGCACCGAGGACCTCAGCGCCCACACATCCCTTGCTGCATCTGCGGCACTGCGAGGGAACTCCTGCAGGCAGGACTCCGTGTGGGTCCTCGCTGGGCAGGGGACCACGTGCTGGCAGGCGGATCCCACCCCGGCCCAGTCTCGTGTCGGCTTCTCCCTGGACCCCCGCGGGCCTCAGCTGGCCTCCCTGGCTTTGCCTCTGTCTCTGCAGTGGGGGACAAGGCCAGGCGCCCCTGAATTCCTAGGGGAAGCACAAGTCACGTTGGCCGGACGAGGCAGCTGCCACACAGGTGGGGGCTGCTCTCGTCCAGGCCAGGCCTGCTGGGGAGTCCACGCACATGGTCTGCTCATGGAGACGGGGCGTCAGGGTCTGGCCCATGGGACAGTGGGAGCCCAGCGGTGGGGGAGGCCGCCACTGCAGCTGGGGGTTTCCAGGGAACTGGGCTGGGGGTTCTCGGAGGGAGGGAGGGCAAGCCTGAGAGCGGGGGGCTGGTGGGGGGCATAGCAGGCGGGTGTCAGTGGGGAGGGGTCAGGCCTTGCTGTTTTGGACGCGAGAAAACAGCCCCACAGCTGGCTCTCCTGCGGTCCCCACATTGGCCTGCCGCGGTCTGTGGGGCCCCTTACGGGGTCTGAACCCTGCCTTCTGCTGTGTCACGGCCCCACCCCAGACCGCCACCACGGCACCGCGGGCCCGGGGAGGGAGGCGGCCAGGGCGGGCATCTCCATGCTGACAGCAGCTGCGGCCACGGGCCTAGGTGCCCAATTAACCCCACCTCGTTCTGCCCGGAACCCCAACTCAGGGCCCCCGAGCAGGGCATGGCAGCATCAGGCTGACGCAGCTCCTGGAATGTACCAAGTGTGGTCCCTGCTCAGGGCCTTCGTCCTGCTGTCCCGCTGGGGCGCCCAGGGGCTTGCTCTGGCTCTGTCCCTCCTCCGGGGTCCCGCTCAGCGGTCACCTCTCTGAGGACTGCCTGGCCCCTTCCCCAAGGCGCGTAGGTCTGGAGCCCACGGCGAGCGCCCCCGCCTCAGTGTCCTCACCTGTAAAGAGGGGCATGTTCCCAGTCAAGGGACCTGCAGACAGAGGAGGCGGAGGGTCCCCAGCCTGGCCCACGGTGTGTGTAGGGGTCGTCCTGGGGTACGACGTGGGCAGGAACGGTGGGCCTGACCCCAGCAGGCCTGGCGTGGGGCCGTGGGTACAGGCAGGGTCCCGGGGACCGCGGTGCTGGACGCCAAGTTGTGGGGACCAGGTGCTGAGCACTTAGATGTCGGAGCCCTTCCTGGGGCTCTGGCTCTGCTAGGCTTGGAGGTGACTCTGTGGATCCCCCGCCTCTGGCGGCGACCCCTGCCCAGGCCCGGCAGCCTCCCCTGCGGGCCGCCCGTCAGGCCTGGCCAAGGGACTGCGGGTACAGGCCCCAGGCGGAGCGGCCGCGGCCGGGCCCGGTGGAGGGGCACGGCCAGCAGGTGGCGCTGCAGGACCAGCCCCGGCCGCACGGCAGCCTGGAGCCTGGAACCCGGAGCCGGCCTGGTGAGGCAGGTGGGTGCGGGGCTTCACGGCCCCCAGGAGGGCTGGCGTCCCAGGTCAGGACGCTCTGTGGCCAGGGCCCCCAGCCCCCAGCGTTGACAAGAGTGTCGTGCTCCCAGGATCCAAACTCTGCAAGAAGTTTGGGCGCCTTGGAAGCAGGGTGGGACTCAGCCTCAGCGGCCCCACAGGGAGCCCCAAAACTGATGACCTTGGAGTGACCCAGTGGAAGAGAGGAACCGTGCATTTCTGCTCCCTCTCCGCACCCTGGATGCTGCCCAGGGAGGGGCTCACGGGGCCAGCGAGTCAGCTCCCAACCCCACCCCCACCCACCCGTTCTGGCGGGGACACCGCCTCGCTGCGTAGGATCACAGGGTGCAGACGCTGCCCTCCCCCGCCCCAAGCCAGGCAGCCTGCCTCTCCCGCGGTCCTCTCCCGCTGGCTGGGCTTCTGCTCCCCACCGGCCCTGGCGCATGGGGCCTGGGGGACCGGACCGGGGCCCCGCAGGGCCGGGAGCCTCACGTTTCCAGGCCTCTCGGCTCCTGGACCCCAGGGTCCTCCTCTGGGGACACAGCACCGCGCCCTGGTCCTGGCGGCTTCCCTCCTGCAGGATGGCCTTCCATACACGCCCGGCCAGCTAGAAGCTTCCGGAGCGTGCTGGAGAGCCCCACGGTCACGGCCACTGTGCCCCGCTCTGACTGAGGGACAGCGGGTCGCTCCGTCTGCCGTGTGGGTACATGGGGCCCACGGCACAGGCGCAAACACCCTAGAAACCCGTGGTTCTCCACAGGTGGCCCAGGACACTTGTCACAACTGGGTGGGGGGACGCCTGGCGCTGCTCAAACCCCCCAGCGCCCAGGACGCCCCCTGCCCCTGCGGTGGGGGGAGGCTGACCTCAGGCCCGGGCCTCCGTCCCGTGGGCTGCAGGCGCCATGAGCCGAGGCCCCTGTGAGTCGCTGCCTGGGGCTGGGCTGTCTGGGCTCACCCGTGGGACCGACGAGCAAGCAGCCTTCATCTCTGCTGTCTTGGCCATTCTGTCTGTGCACTGTGCCACCCCGGGCCCATGACCGGCCGGTCGCTGCCACGCAGCCGAGTGCTTCTGTCTACCTGCCGCATGGTGGGTGTCCATGTGGGGCTTAAAACATCCACCCCTGTGCCCACCCCATGGTCCCCTGTACGCCTCTCCCTGGACTCCTTGTCCCTGAAACGGCCATTTCCCTCCTCCCACCCCCCTGGCCCGCCAGCTGGGCCCACTGCCCAAAGCCCTACAACCTGAGAGGGCCACCCCCCACCCCCCACCACTGCCACTGTCCACCTGGGCCCACACGCTGTGCCGACCAGCCCTGAACCACGACGGAGCTCCTCCCCCTCCTCAGCTAGTCACAGGAACCCCTGGGAGGCCACAGGTGTGAGGGGGTCGCCCAGGTGAAGCTCACGCAGGTCTGGACCACCTGTGTGCGCAGGGCCTTGCTCATGTCTCTCCCAACCTCACGACAGGGCAGGTCTGAGGAAGCCAGGCCGGGCAGCCGGCCATGGTCCCGCGGCCAGGCAGGCCCTCTTTCTCAGGACCAGAACCACAGCTGCTCTCCCACAGACCACACATCCCCGCCCTGGACCCAGGGACCCCTGTGCGGCTTCTCCCACCCACACTTGCTGCAAAGCCTACGTTGCCCCCAGCCCCCCAGAGTCAGCTCAAACGTAGCAGCAGGGACCTGCGGCCGTCCCTGCTGGCCCCGCTGGCCTTCTGTGGTACCAGGAGGTACTGGAGCAGGACTCCCAGAAGCCCCCAGCTGCAGCGCTCCTTCGTGGTGGCCTGCCGGTGCAGCCCCCTGTCCTCTGGGGAGGGGCTCCCGTGTGCCCGGGACCCCTGGATTTCTCCCTGGAGTGCACATGTCCCACGAAAGCCCCTTCTCCACCATCTGGTCTGATTCACACAGGGGTGTCGATTTGGGGGACAGCTGTGTTCTGGGGATCTGAGGCTGGTCCAGGGGACTCTGGGCAGAAGAGTTACCGCTACCTGGGGAGGGACCACGTGTTCTCTGCAAGTGATTGTACCCGGCTTCTGCTACTCCTTCCTGATCAGGATGGAGGAGAACGCAGCCTCGCTCGCTCTTCTAGCTGTCCGCTGTCCTCCTGGACCCATCCCCGGCCTTTTGTAGTGGTCAGACTGGTGGGGCAAACACAGATGCCACAGGGCCATCCCCGACACCCTTCGGTCTTTAAATGTGTCGTCACTCACCCAGGAGGGCACGCTGCTCATCACTGTCTCGATTGGGGGCAGTTACAGACACTTCCACTGGACTTGTCCATGCCGGTGGCCAAGGACGGGATATCAACCATCAAGTATGTGCACTCCACTTGTCCACTCTGGGCTTTGGGAAATGACCGCTGGCTGGGTGTGCGGACCCAAAGTCAGGGATCAGGCCCTGGCTGGAATCGCATTTGTGGGACCCCCACTCTAATCGGGGAGCTGCGGTCATGCTTTGGGCCTCAGGTTACCAGCGGCAACTGGAACCCTGTGTCCAGCAGTCCTCACATGCTTGGGCATGTCCCCTCCCCTGGGTTCAGTTACAGGGTCATGGGGAGGGCCTGGCACCATCCCCACTGTGCAGACTTAGTTTGCTTCCTGAGGACCCGGCCCCCTTTTACCCCCTGGGTTCTGGGTCTGGAATCTGCCTGAAGCCTGGAAACTGGGCAAAGGACCACGACCTCTAATTGGAACCTCCTGGTCACGCATCCTTGATTCCTTCTCTTTGGACGCTTGTCCAGTCTCTGAGAACACTGTGTTCTGTTCACCACCACCTCGGCACCTCAGGCCCTTGGCCTGGCTCCACTCTTGCTGTGCCCACCTGGCCTCTGGTGGCCAGCTGCCACCATCCCTGTCATGTCCGTTCCGTGACAGCCTCTCCCACGGTCAGCAGACCCTGCCAGGAGCCTCCACTGACCACACGATGCTGGTGCCTCTCCTACTGTGCTCTGGTGGCCTGGCTCCGCGGCGTGTCCTCCAGGCCACCTGGGGAGCCCACCCCAGCCTTCCACTGTGGCCATGGCCGCTGTGAC